GTCTTACTTTCTTCGGGAATATGCAAGGACCTGACTCGGAACAGAGAGCTTACTAAAGCTATGTTCAATAACTGTGGGAAGTAGACAGGATACACAAGAAAGGTATACAAAAACCTTTATTTTCTCTCTTTACAATAATTTCCGAACTTTGGAATACAAAGACCCACTACTTGTGGTCTAAACGTAAGAATATAAAAATATTTAACTAAACTCTAACTTAACTTTGGAATAATAAACGTGGAAGATTGGCCTTATATTAACAGGAAGCCGTATGTAGTACAGAGAACTGTTAACACTACAATACGTTTAAAAATTATCACGAGGATTAAAACTCTGGCCTGGAAGGCAACCAGCAACTGAGTAAAACTTCTAAGGTAAGCGGCCTGCTTCGACTAACTCCTTCCTCTCTCTCGCTTGGCAAAAAGCCACAACTTAAGTACTTGGCGTTCGCCAGACAAATTTTACATAAATAAGTTAACGCTTTTAATTCTGGCCGGAAGTAGAAAATAAGAAGTGATAGTAAAGATTTAAAATAAAATAAACGTTAGTAAAACTTAAGATCCTTACAGGGTAATACAGTTCCATTCGTTCGTCCATAGTTTTTTTAGCTATTTTTGTGTTGTATGAATTAGAAAATTAATTAAAATTGTTTTAGCATCAGATGAAATGTGGCACTTATCTAAAAATTCAGAACTGGCAATGAAAAGGAAATATTTTATACGTCACATCCCGACGATCATAAGTAAGTACAGCTATTTCTGGACTTAATTCGATCAAAATGGGTACATTTCTAGCTACTTCGTAGAATGACATGACTGTTGCTACTGAAAAAAGCCCGAATGTCCTGAATAATATTCTTACAAATATCGACCCGTAGAAATACCTCCCCCTCCCCAATTATTCGGAAACTATCGAGTTCAAATCGGTAATAACTCTTCCTGAAAGCCAGTAAATTCAAAATCATAGAACTATTCTTTTTCCTCATATCAGCAAATAACAACATTTTATTCGTTCCGCCCCATACAATACTAAAACTGCAACCATAAAATTCGCTACCTAACTTTAATAAATTTTTACATAAAATTAGCAAAGCAACAACCTTCTGTTTAGTCAAAAACTCAATGGATTTCGATTGCAAATAGATACAAGCCCCTCTTCATCAGGAGCAAAGAAATCTGCAAGACCAAAAAGCTGCAGGTGCAACGGTCATATACCCATATACAACAGTAAAGCGACCGAAAAGGTAGCTCTATTTGTCAGCATAGCTAGTAATCAAATTTAAAAAATAAGTTAAAATAGAATTTTAGAAGCATCAGAAAGGACTGTAATACACTTAAAGACATTAACTAAACAAGATAAATGCTTATCAATGGGAAATTTTCACATGTCCCGAGTCAATACAAAGGACTCATCTTTTTTAAATTCTTGGTATGAGCATGCGTAAACTTCTTTCGAAATGATAAGCAGAATAAAAAATAAAGCAAACAAACAATTAAGCAACTAATAAGCAAAGAAACCGAGCTAAATAAAGCCATGCAAGAAATAATAACTACAAAGAAACTTAAGTAATGTGGTTTTTTTCGACTAATAATAGATTCATTGTAACCTTTTGTGTAGACGCTTTCCTTGGAGAATTGCTTAATTAGAATTTAGGAAAGCTGCGAGCTTTCTCGTTCATTTTATCAGTATACTTGGAAAGGACTTTCTGCGAAGCAAACAGTCTCCTCGAAGAAAAAGTGGTAAAATTCAAAGGATCACTCATTAAATACAATAATAATTATTGTATTTAATTAAAATAACTTTCATAGTTAATTTGAAATAAGGTTTGTGTGCTCAATACTACAGATAAATAATAAATGTTCAAATGAAATATTAAAAAAGTCTTCTTTGAAGGTAACAAAAACATTTGGGGAATCTCCATAACTGTTTTCGATTTTTATGCTTTTATTGCAACGAAGCTTTATCAAAATATTTGGATTTACCTAGGGACTAAGCAAAGATTTTATTTAGAAACATATCTAAATTTTTATCTTTTGTGATTGGCAGCAGAAAATTTCATATTTACAGAACGTAGTTTATTTAAAGTTTTTAAGATAAAATAGTAATATAATATTAAAGTCTGGTTAGAATGATCCTAATAAATCATTTCTATAACATATACCTCCTTCATCTTTCACTGATGACTGGATTTAATAATTCCCTTTTATTTAGTTTCCTCGTGAAATTGATAGCTTCGCTTCCCTTGCTCCTATTTGCATTTAACTTTGATTAAAATGCGTTCGCATATCTAATATATAAGATGTCAAACTGCTGCTTTTGCGATGAGGGTAAAGCATATTTCTCCTGGGATTAATCACTGGTGGTCATTTCAAAGCGAAAATGTGGCTTAACTTGTTGGTTCTTAAAATTTACGGTTAGTAATTCCTCATTGGCTGTTCTTGGCATATCTAATATATAAGATGTCAAACTGCTGATTTTGCGATGAGGGGTAAAGCATTTCTCCTGGGATTAATCACTGGTGGTCATTTCAAAGCGAAAATGTGGCTTAACTTGTTGGTTCTTAAAATTTTACGGTTAGTAATTCCTCATTGGCTGTTCATTGGCATATCTAATATATAAGATGTCAAACTGCTGATTTTGCGATGAGGGTAAAGCATATTTCTCCTGGGATTAATCACTGGTGGTCATTTCAAAGCGAAAATGTGGCTTAACTTGTTGGTTCTTAAAATTTTACGGTTAGTAATTCCTCATTGGCTGTTCATTGGCATATCTAATATATAAGATGTCAAACTGCTGATTTTGCGATGAGGGTAAAGCATATTTCTCCTGGGATTAATCACTGGTGGTCATTTCAAAGCGAAAATGTGGCTTAACTTGTTGGTTCTTAAAATTTTACGGTTAGTAATTCCTCATTGGCTGTTCATTGGCATATCTAATATATAAGATGTCAAACTGCTGATTTTGCGATGAGGGTAAAGCATATTTCTCCTGGGATTAATCACTGGTGGTCATTTCAAAGCGAAAATGTGGCTTAACTTGTTGGTTCTTAAAATTTTACGGTTAGTATTCCTCATGGCTGTTCATTGATATCTAATATATAAGATGTCAAAATGATTTTGCGATGAGGGTAAAGCATATTTCTCCTGGGATTAATCACTGGTGGTCATTTCAAAGCGAAAATGTGGCTTAACTTGTTGGTTCTTAAAATTTTACAGTTAGTAATTCCTCATTGGCTGTTAGGAGTCGTAAAATACAGAACTGATAGTATAATTGGAAATATATTGCATATCTTTGTTCTTGTCTGAACTCATAATACTACTATGGTATTTTATACTATATTAAAAACACTGGAATTTTGCTTTAATAATTCTTAAGCGAAATAATCTCAACGCAGTTAGTTTATAATATATTTGCCGTTAGCAGATTTAAACGGCTGTGAAACAAATTTGGATTTCCATATCAAAATTTTTCTGGTGAACTAAAGTCATGCGATCATTATCTGACCATAGTTAATCAGTTAATGATTTTTTAATAATATGGATATAAACTATTTTCAAAACGCTGCTTTCTGTTTCATAACTGCAGACCATTTTAATGTTTCTAAATTCCCAGCGCATACACAAACACAAAATAGATATAAAGACTTCTAAAAACTTAGCCACTCTGACATTAACAGGAATACTGAATTTGCTTTCTTCTGACTCTAATATGTAGATTTCGCGTTATTGAATATTCGCATTATTGAATTGATAATATTCTGTGACAAAGGCACATTTATTTGTATTCTGATTTATTTAGTAGTATAGTTTCCTTGCTCAGGATGTAAATAACCGGCTTCTAAATTTATGCGAGAAAAGTTTTAACAGTAAAATTTATTTCTATATTAATACATTAAGCATCATACATAATGGCGCTATTTTTTGTTTATAAGAAGCAAATAACAACACATAATAATGTGTCTTTGCTCACGAAAACATTGTTAATAGGATTCTACAGAAAGGTTATCGCATCCTACATAAAGGTTTAAAACCCATTTTGGAATTTAAATAGCAGCTTGGGAGCATATTTAACAAGTTTTCTAGCAAACTTTCGTTAAAACAGCGTTCTAATAATTTTCAACAACAATAACACGGGATAGGATCATGGAAAGAAGCATGAAGGTGGTCATTTTAGCATATTATTTTCGGTAAAATGAACAAGTAATGAAACTCTGAACTGAAATCGTAATAAATAACTTTAAAATCGTTTTATGCACTTTATTTAGCTTGTTTTTTCTAAAATAGTGACATTGATTTCAACGCCTTTCTTCCAAACTGATTTTCTCCAAATCTTTCAAGCAACTATATTTGAAATGATAATAAAATAATTGACAATAACGTTTCCAAATTTCAGTACATTTATAATTATGATTATTTAGTTTCGAATTTTTTTCAGATATTCTTGCTGAACTATCAAACTAGTCATCACAAAATTTCGATGTTCGTCTATGAGATAGTTGTGATGTTTTCTGGCGCTCTTTATCATAATTTACCGAATGTTAGAACAGAATATAGTCGTTCTTATTTCAATTCTATACTAACATTTCTGTTTTTCCATGAAAGTTCTTGAACCCAAAGAGAAAGCATTTACAGAAAGTTAAAAGTGTTTATTCTAATGAACACGTATAAAAGCCTTAACATTTCAGTGCCTTATAAATTGCAGATGTAAAATAAACATACTTAATAAATAATAAATTAGTGATAGATAATAAATAAAATAAATAAATTAAAATAATAAATATTTTATTATTTATTAATAAATTATAAAATAGTAATAAAATAGTGCGATAGTTCATCGATATATTCAGTTTATTGGCACTATTTTATTATTTAAAACTTAATATATCGATGAAAACCTGTGTAAATTTAATGAAAAAGGGGGAAGGAAAACAAAATATAATTGTAAATACAGGCATAGAATACTATTTTTGTGCCCTAAATATAGAATTTTATGTTTTCCAGATTCTCTGCACTTTGAACAATGTTTTCGTTGTGATCAATCTACTGCTCATATGCGGAATGATCTTGGTAGGAATATTCAATATGGATTCTGAAAACTGGATAGCTGGACCAGGATTTTTTCCGGGAAGAGTAACAGGAGTAAGTATCGACAACTACGATGTGTTAAAAAAAATTTAAGTTTCTTCCTTGCTAAAACGGACTCAGCCTTTGGCGTCATCTCAAATTTGTAGGTTCCAGACTAGGCGGTTAAGTTAACATAGATGAACGACTAAACAAGTAATCAAATAATCATATTTAACTTAATATGCAATATATGTTGTTATTTTCTTAAAGTATTACCTCCTTTTCTGCGTACGTGATTTTTATTCTCACTGATAAAGTATTATTATTTTCAACTAACGATTATATGCTATTCTTTTTTTAATTAATTTAATTGAATAAACGCCAGAAATACGAGGATGCATTTTTATCAGTCGACTATACTTAAGACATTTTGTATATCGTCGATATTATAATTGTGCCTTATCCAACAGTGTAAGAAAGAAGAATTGTTTAAAAACTTACTTTACTTTAAATTCTTAATAACATTTTTCGAAAAAAGTTATTTTATATCATAAGCATAATAAATAACATGCATCTCGTATACCTTATCAATAACGAATACAAAATTTGTAACTTTATTTTGTACGTTATCAACTGCATCTAAAATAAAATCGAACAGGAATGATAAACTTTTGTCGTTACGTACGTAGTGTATGGATTCTCTACATACAATCCTCTTTCTTTTTCCTTCTGTTTTATTAAAAAATATAACATGCTATTTTAATCATTTGATAATATATTTTTATACAATTTTATCTTCCAAAACGAATTGCACGAATCAACACCAGAAACTTTAAAATTAGCTTTTAATTTTATTCAGCCTTGGGGTTTAGTTTTATGTATTTGCAATAGTAAATATGATTTTTATTGAAGACGATAAAGGAATACTTCTATTATTATGTATTTATTTCTTATAATTTTTTAAGTTTTTAAAAAAATATGATGATAAACTTTCCTTTAAAAAGTTCTATTGCAATCTGAAGTTTTCAGATTAAGGTAATGTTTCTTAAATAATTTTCATGAGAGCAACAAGAATGCCATATCTGTGCATCTTCTAGACAGGACTAAGTTTAAAAGTTCCCCTTGATAGAAACCTTGTACGTTAAAGTACGAAAATATCATATCGAATGTGATATGATATTTTGTTACTTTTCTGGCATCAGTAATTACAGATTAAGTAATAAATCTAATTTATCTTCTATTGTCTCAGTCTCGATAAATCAGCTTATTCTGTGGTAATTACATTCAGAAAAGTTTTCAACTTATTTATTTTTACAGCAAAAAGAGCCAGCTAAAAATGTATAAACAATACGCCCTTGTTGATTCTATCTTGATTTATAGTAAGTTCTTTTCTAGAAATTAACTTTTAATTTTTTCATCCAAAGTAATACTGCTATTTATCATTAGTTCTTATCTCTTGTATCTTGTATACAACTTTTTCTGCTTGGTTTTGTTGGAAGAAAACTGGAGTTGATGTGGATGTAATCATTTATCTTGTAGCATCGATTTTTAGCAGAATGTTTCATTTACTAGTTCTTGTTGCAAACGAAATAGAAAAGGAAATATATTACAAATGTATCTGGAATAGAAGAAATAGAGTTAAATGTATCTAGATGGGATAGAACTATTCATAAACACGTAAATAGGCAGAAATTCTTTCATAATTACAGGCAGATAGTTAACAGATAGCAAAATAACAGTTATGTAAGAGTACTGTCACAAAAGGCACGCTCATTTCTAGATTTATGTACCATTTTACGTGCCATTTAAAACGTGGTTTCATTTTATTTGATAATTAATTCCTCCGTTTATGTGGTGCTTTTAATTATGTGCTATTAGTTAACGTGGTAATTAACTATTTACACATTAATGCAATCTCGATTCTACAAAAGAAGATGACATATTTCTGCAACATTAATTGAAGTTGAGAGTTTCAAAATGTTATCTGTGTATTTGTGCATCTTTTGCTATCTGCAAAGCATTTGCGCACCGTGTGCATTCACTCATGTATAGTCAAATGAGTAATAATATTACCTTTCAGTAATTTACCTTTCACTTCAAATTAAATAAATGAGTCACGTTACGCAGAGAGGAATTATTGCATCTCTCACACGTGTTTTCATGGTAAGAGTGGTTATCTTTGCCCAGTTAACAAATTTGTAGATAAATTTGTAGATTCGTAGTTCGAATTGCAATCACGGAACATTTAACCTTTCACGTTCCTCTTTTCAAAAATCCAAGTGTCTTTACAAGAACAAGTATATGTAGGGCAGGATATCAAAATTTTAGTTTTGGTAGTGCAGGATAATCCCGTCTCACTAGCTGTAAAGCTTCGTCATAATTTCGATGGAGAACACCCCGAGGGATGGTTCAAGAGTATCCCACCCTTCTTTCCCTACTACAACCACTCAAGAGGACTTTCGACTCCACATGCAGTTTGAGTGCCTCAATAACACACAGATAATATACACTTACGAAATCCATGCCTACTCCGGGATTCGAACGCGAACCCAGTGATATAGCAGCCATGAGCACTAACCAACATACCGATCAGCGTGGCTTGTAGTCTCTACAGAAGTGTTTGTACAATTGTGGAGGTCGATAACTCCTCATCACCTGGATTTAGTCGCTTGAGTCTCGTACCTCTCCCCAGTCGCCCTTTAAGTAAGGACGGAAGCAATTATCATAATAATCTGCATATGGTCTCATGGTTTAAGAACTTGATACATCTAGCTAGCTCATGGAAGACTCGTGCTTCGAATCCGGCGAGGACAACGTTGATTTAAACTGTTTCATGATCTGAAATGTTAACCTGCTGACTGCCATGGAATCCACGAAAGTCGATGGCTGCAGCCTGTAAACTAAATGTTTTCACAGCGGCCCCTGAACTGTGAAATGTACTGGGTGATCAATTCGTCTTTATTTGGATTTGATCGACTAGATATCGTGTCTCTCAGCAATCTCTCTTTAAAGTGAAGGAGAAAGTAAAGGAATTATCGTATTATTCTCTTGTGGCGTAGGTAGTTAGTACATCCAACAGTCAAGTGGAAGATTATATCAGCAAAGTCCATAACTGATTTTTTGTGTTTCCTGATTGCGAAAACCTAGTTGTCTTTACAACATATCTACTCTAAAATATGTCAGTCTTCATGGACAAATTTTCAACTACTTGGTTCTAATGGCCATCGAGAAGCCCATTTCTGCGTAGTAATATTAATATTTAAAATGGTCAAAAGTTTTAAGATGTTTTTATTAATATAAAATTTGATTATTTTTTATTTTTAAGTAGTTGATATTAATAAAACTGTTATAAAAGTGATGTAACAAAAAAAAACTGAATTTTTTATTAAACAAATATATAGTAGGATTTATTAATTTCCCTTCGAATTCTGGGAATGAATTGAATCTACCCTGAGTATCAATGGTTTAAATTTATGTCAAAGGGTTACTGTATTTACTTCGATGTCGAAAAATTCCGATTATATTGAATGCATTAGTAGCACTGCATTTTTTAATTACATGTATTACATTGTATACATAAAATATTTAAATTCTAAGTTAATAAATTATATAATTAATTAAATTTCCTCTTCATTTTGATATGTTATTATTCATAATGATAAAAAAATGTTATGTTTTAGTTTCCACTTTTAATAAAATCGTATCCCACGTAAACAGACTTTGCCATCGACTGACCATCAATAAGATCTTTCCCTCATTCTTCTAAAAGTGAAATACTGAATACTGCATTAAATGTTTTAACAGTCATTTTATCTTAATCATTTAACATTCATTATCATTTAACAGTCATTTCCTTAATAATATATTCAAACAAGTGCTATTTTACAGCGTAAACGTCACGAACAAGATATATTTCTAATACCCTGTAGCAGTGTCGACAGCAAGAATTTTATTTCTTGTATACATAATCGCCTGTTAGTTCGTAGATGGCATGGATTTACATGCTTACAAAAATACCAACCGCTTCCAGTGAGAACTTAAAAGATAATGTAACACTACCTTTAAAGGTAAAGAGTAGTCCGCAATTCATGTTAAGCTAACAGGCTGACTCAGAAACCGGCAGAATTCGGTGACAAGAATGCGTAGCCGATATTAAAGTTAACAATAGCAACGTGAGCTTACAATAGCGAAATCACACTCTCACTATACTTTTCGCTCCCAGAAGTCTAAATATTTTCTTTCACCCTAACTCATTCACATCCTGGTGAAGCAGAAAAGGCTCACAAAATAACTATTAGTAAAAATAAATAAAACCTTACACTATATTTAAAATAAAATAATAACTAGCGAATTCTTCAAGCAAATAACCAATACGTAAATACATTTTCTGTTGCCAAATTAGCGTTTCTGTAGCCAATTCAGAGTTTTTGATTAATTTCTGGCAATAATCAAAAATTAATATCTTGCGCAACCTGCAGTAAACAATTCGCAAATAAATTTTTTGCTGCCAAATTAGCGTTTCCAGAGTTTTTAATTAATTTCTCGCCTTAATCAAAAATAAATATCTCGCGCAACCTGTAGTAAACAATTCGTAAATAAATATTTTGTTGCCAAATTAGCGTTTTGAGAGTTTTTAATTAATCTTTCGCAATAATCAAAAATTAATATCTCGCGCAACTTGCACTAAACAATTCGTAAATAAATTTTCTGCTGCCAACTTAGCGTTTTCAGAGTTTTTAATTAATTTCTCGCAATAATCAAACATTAATATCTAGCGCAACCTGCAGTAAACAATTCGTAAATAAATCTTTTGTTGCCAAATTAGCGCTTTCAGAGTTTTGAATTAATTTCTCGCTTTAATTAAAAATTAATATCTCGCGCAACCTGCAGTAAACAATTCGTAAATAAATTTTCTGTTGTTAAGTTAGCGTTTTCAGAGTTTTATTTAATGTCTGGGATGGTTCAAATTGTACGCAGATGAGAATGGTCGAAATGGCTTCCCTGGAATTTTTGCAATTTGAGACTCAACTCATCGCCGTTCCGGATTAGATAACAAGCAAAGAACAAATAAACAG